TCAACTGCCTCTCCTTGATATTAAGCATATTTTCATTGCTTGTAACATGCTCGGTCAATAATATCCTAAGCATCCTTCTGTACAACCACATCTCCGTCGCCTCGAGTCTTTTCTTCATCTTTGAGGAAATTGTCCATCATTCGCTACCGTAAGAGCTCAGTACTTTTTTTTTCTTTGTTACGAAAGAAATCGTCTTGTCTCGCAATACTCTGCTCAGCTTTTGGAATGTGTCCTTAGCGATCCCAATACGTCTATGAATCTCAGTGTCACACTTAACGTCCTCTGTCAAGACGCTTCCCAGATATTTAAACTTCTGCATCTGCTTGATTCTAGTGTTCCCGATCTGCAAATAGCATCTCGAGCTCTTCCTCTTACTGATGACCATGCATTCTAAGATATTTAGAGATAACATAATAAGAACAGAAGAAACGATTGCAACCGGGTCCACAATTTGGTAAAGTTTCTTTTCTTTTTGTGCATCAACTATGAATCCAGTGCAGTTTTTCAGGATCTCAAAATTCCAAAGCCCTTTTTAAATCATTTCACCCCAAACAAGGCAATAATGCTACCAAGGCGCAAGGGGTTGCACAGAGTGAAAGAGAATGAAGAGTCTTTAGTGACGAGAAGTGGGGAAAAGAACAATAAAAAAAAAACAAGAATCAGGATAACAAAAGAAGGCGACTGACATTGAATTTAAATTTTTGAATATTGTAGATAATAGGGAATCAAGAAATCGAGAGTTCAAAAGGTGAGAGAGGTGCGGGAAAAAGAAACTATTAGGATAGAACAGACGTTTGCGTCTTGCTTGTTTAACAGTAAAACGATGAGACCTAACTGTCAATCTAGTAGCACGCTCAAATTCATGCAGCCGAGGCACTAAGTGGGAAAACTCATATGAACAATTGCCATGAAAATATTTGTAGTAGTTTTTTTTTTCCTGTTCTAAAAGAGCTTTTGGTATTTGCTTATAGCGTTTGTTTACATGTTTGAACCTGAGCCATTTTTACAATCTCGAATGTAGCACTGTTCCTAGAAATTACATCGACATTTTAAATTCTACTTAGAGAGATTTCCTTTTCAGGATTCTGTATGTGATATTCTGTGTGTATTTTGCAAATTCTATTTTACCGCTCTAAACGCAAACATTTCTTCCTTTCTTTTTTAATACACAGCGTGTCCATAAAGTTCGTGTGCACCTTAAAAAAATTATAACTTTATTTGTATTTGCGATAGAAATAATTTGTAAAAAAATGTTACAAAGTTTAATGTACATAGTTTTAAGTATAGCTAAAATAACTAATGTGATTTCAGGCATTACTGTAAATCAGTTGGCAAATGTTTTCCGTGAACGGCAAAATCGTATTACTCTTTGTATTGCTAATGATGGAGGAGATGTGGAAACTTAAATAAAATTTCAATAAAACCTTAAAAACATATAGATTTACTTCTTTCTAATCCTTTTTACAAATTATTTCTATCGCAAATACAAATAAAATTATAAATTTTTGAAAGTGCACATGAACTTTATGGACACCCTGTATATATCTTCTCTTCTCTCTCTCTCTCTCTCTCTCTCTCTCTCTCTCTCTCTCTCTCTCTGCTTCAGGTAATTTTGATACTACTGAACAAATTCTGTATACTGCTTACTATACGATTTTCGAATCATTTAAGTTTCTCTTCATTGACTAATCCATGCTTTAACTAATGTACTCTAACAAGCTTTTTTTTTCTGTTATTTATTCTATTATTTTATTTAGGTTCACCCCCACTCACCCCCGGCCTTTTGAACCGGTGTACAGTTTTATCACGTGTTTCCTGTTCCTTCTAAAATCTACTACAACTCTATACTTCTAAGGTCTCCTCCCTGGTCTTTTGAACAGGAGTAGAGGTTTATCCCTTGTTCCCTGTTTAGGATTGCGTTTCCGCTTCCTTCTAAAGTCTACTTCAACTCTAGACTTCTAACATCTCAACCTAAAACTCTGAACTTTTTAATTAATATTCGTTTACTTTTTTCAATACTAGATAGATAGATTCGCCTATCATCTTGTTTGCACACCTCCCCACTCTTTTGAACAGGAGTAGAGGTTTATCCCTTCTCTCATGTTTAGAATTGGGTTTCCGGTTCCTTCTAAAATATTTTCTTTCTCCTTCACTCCAGGTACCTCAATGCGTCTTGGTGGCATTATCAGCTTGCTTGGAGTCATGCCTCTTACACTGTAACCCTCTACTACGAGTGTCTCTTGGGCCTTCCACAGGGGGGACAACACTGTATATAATATTAACGAGGCCCACTGGGTCTCAGTGAATTTAGTACGACACATAATACAAAGCCTCAACAGTAAACTTTGTCAACTAAACAGCTGTAAATGCAAACATTTATTTCCTATTTTCTTTTATTCAGTGACGATTTTTGTGCAAATATGAATTGTTTAATTCTTTGAGCCCTTTTCCTTCTAATGTAAAAAAAAATCATGTATAACAAGTAATAATGCAATAGATTATGATTTTAAAACCATAAAGTATTACGTTGTTACTTGTACATTTACTTCATTAAAATACTATTTATTAATGTTTTTATAATTATTTTTACTATAAAAGAAACGAATTAAAATATTACTTATTCTGTATTAATAACAATATTAATCAATAATAATATATTAATTAGTTATTAATAATTAATTAATAATTGTTAATAATTAATAATCATTAATAATAATTAATAATGATAAAATAATATAATATGATAATAATATAATATAATAAAATAATAAAATAATTATAAAATAATATAATATAATAATAATATAATATAATGATGTAATAATAATAATGATTAATAATGATTAATAATAATAGAATAATATAATATGATAATAATATAATATAATAAAATAATAAAATAATTTTAAAATAATATAATATAATATAATAATAATATAATATAATGATGTAATAATAATAATTATTAATAATAATTAATAATAATAGAATAATATAATATGATAATAATATAATATAATAAAATAATAAAATAATTATGAAATAATATAATATTATAATATAATATAATGATGTAATAATAATTAATAATAATTAATAATTTATTATTAATTTATAATTAATAAATAAATTAATAATATTAATAATAATATTAGTATGTATTAATAAATAAATTTCTGTGGAAAAGCTTTCAACAAAACTACATAAACTTAAATTAACTCGTACTTAGCCGATGGTTGATGATACAGTTAAGTATTTCGAATCGATAAGGGCAGGGGTCAGTGTTCAAACACAAATAACAAACATCATTTCCAATGCAAATTTTCAAGGCAGTCACGCCCATTTGAAAAAAATGATGAAACTTATCTTAGTAATTTCATTTCGTCCGCCTGCTTTTGTGTTAGACTAAAAATAAATTCGATTTGTGACGGATGTTTGATGGAAAAGCAAAATGCGATCTAAATTTAGAAACGAAGGCAGGGATTTCAAAGGTTTTGCCATTATTGCTGAAATATTTTAGAAAGAAAATAATAATAAAAATGTATAAAGAGAAAGAAAGAAAGATAGAAAGATCTTTCAGGCGTAATGATTGAAACGAATTTGATAGACAGGAGGAAGGACAAAACGCACAGAAATGACCGTTTCCGTTATCCTATTCATAAATGGTATATTATCTATCATTAATATATCTATGCTTTGCTAAATCAACTTTTTAAACCTGTACTTTTCTGACCAATATACACCAGCCAATCACGAGTTATAGTCGTCGTCGTCGTCGTCGTCGTTCTTCTTCTTCTTCTTCTTCTTCTTCTTCTTCTTCTTCTTCTTCTTCTTCTCACAATTTTCTTCATTTTTCTTTTCACTTCTCTGAATCTTGTTCCCGATTTAATCTTTCTTCTTTCTTTCTAATTGCCGCCGTATTTTCTTTATTCTTTCATGTTTTTTTTTATTTTTGACTTTCTTCTTCTTCTTCTTCTTCTTCTTCTTCTTCTTCTTCTTCTTCTTCTTCTTCTTCTTCGTGATTACTTCTCCTTCTGCCCTCTTTCTTCTTCTTCTTGTTGATCTTCTTCTACGTGATTCTTCCTCTTCCGTACCCTTTCTTCTTCTTCTTCTTCTTCTTCTTCTTCTTCTTCTTCTTCTTCTTCTTCTTCTTCATGATTCTTTCTCCTTTTCTTCTTCAACGACAATGACTAACTCCAACGACAATAATAAAGACGAATAAATAAAATCAAAGACAGTAGTGGTCAAAGTAATCGGTATGGGCAGAGGGCGGGTTTTGAAAGAATGGATGGGCAGTATGTCCGTAGTCGGTTGTCTCACTGAGACCCGTCACGGTCAACTGGACACGCGGCTCATATCATGTCCAGTCGAATGACGTTGTTATATCCATAGCGCCTAGGGCTGGGGCAAAAGCGGACAACTTAAATAATACAGTGAATATGAAATAGACCAGTGGCCAGGCTCATCAATTCCAACAGTACTCGTATCATTATTACAGCATATATACACAACGGGCACCGACAGTCCAGGACCGACAACGCCAGTTCAAAACCCCCTTCCCGAAAACTGGCTTTTCCCTAACCGCTTCACATGCATGTTTCGTGGTAAGACTAACCACATGTCAAAGGGAAGCTGAGAGGAAATGTTCAAATTTTCAGGATTCTTCATCCCTTCCCCTACATTTAGCATTCGTCGTCTCGCGGTCATCTCTTTCCTACCTACCGCACTGCCCCAGAAAAGGTAGGCTGCATTCAAGCAATCAAAAGCTATAGAAAAGCGATGTCTTCTCATTCGACCGCAGGGTTGTAAAGGTAGTTTGCGCGTTTAGTTGGCGGTCAAGACGGATTTGCTAACCTTCAAGAATGGAGAAGAAAGCGAGCACAAATAAATGGATTTAAAAAAAAAAGGATCGGATTTTCATTCAGTTTTATTGAAACTGACCGAATGTATTCATGCCAGCGGCTGGAGAATTATAAACGATTGCATTGATTTAAACAGACCGATATAGTTTCGAAAGGAATAAAATTAAATAGGAACAGATAGAGAAAGAGACAGAGAGAGACAGAAAGAGAGAGAGGCGGGGGTATATGATAGATAGATAGATAGATAGATAGATAGATAGATAGATAGATAGATAAACAAATTGAGATAGATATATAGAAACAAACAAATTGAGATAGATAGATAGATAGATAGATAGATAGATAGATAGATAGGCAGACAAACAAATTGAGATAGATAGATAGATAGATAGATAGATAGATAGATAGATAGATATGCAGACAAACAAATTGAGATAGATATATAGAAACAAACAAATTGAGATAGATAGATAGATAGATAGATAGATAGATAGATAGATAGAAGAAAAAAGAAACAAATTGAGATAGATAGATAGATAGATAGATAGATAGATAGATAGATAGATAGATAGATAAAAAGAAACAAATTGAGATAGATATATAGGCAGACAAACAAATTAAGATAGATAAAAAGGAACAAATTGAGATAGATAGATAGGCAGACAAACAAATTAAGATAGATAGATAGATAGATAGATAGATAGATAGATAGATAAAAAGAAACAAATTGAGATAGATAGATAGATAGGCAGACAAACAAATTGAGATAGATAGATAGATAGATAGATAGATAGATAGATCAAGTTGATTAATAGGTGGATAAGAATGTACTTTAAACTAAATATCGAGATAAGAATAAATCAGAAATATATTTAAATATAGAAGTTGGCAAGAATTGTGGCTTTTTCACCAAGGTTCGAACTTCGACTGCGGGCACAGGAGACAATTATGATGTCACGTGCAACGTCTATATTATATATATTCTTTTACTTATATTAGGCACCAATGCACCACACTTCCTCGCAGATTGTCCTCTCACCTGTCGAGACTCAGTGCAATCTATCTACATATTGACCAGCGCATCATGAGCGACCAAAAAGTAACTATCAACATATGACAAATATTAGTAGATAACACCAAATACTCTATAGCGCCTAATGCAAGTAAAGACTCAACTCTCTAGAAAATATTATTATACAAAATAAACAACCCACATTAAATAAGGCATCATTGTTCACAGAAGTGAAGTGTATATGATATAATTAATGTACGCACATAATAAATTAGTATTGAAAAAATAAAATAAAATTGATTAATTATTAAATAAAAAAAAATAAATAGCATTATTTTTATTCGGTCTCGTTCCCAGTAGCCGTTATACATAAGGTCATGCTATAATATTTCAAATGTCCAGCTTCCTAAAAATGCCAGGATGCAGACATAGGAATTCTAACTATCGTACAGATAACACATCGGTTCTTGATAATAACTGCGAAAGTCGAAAGTACTGGAATGAAAATAACAAAATATGAACTTTTGACAGTTTATCCACCACTTCCAGAACAATACACAACACCTCATCCGGAAATTGGAAAAATATGACGAAAAAATTATTCTTATATATATATATATATATATATATATATATATATATATATATATATATATATATATATATATAAGCAAATATATGGATATAGATCCGACAGTATGAAGAAAAAAATATACGGAAAAAACAAACAAAAATCCTTACATGCAATTATGCTGTTTTAATGTTAATATAATGTCAACGTCGGACGTTTCGGTCTAATAGACCAACTTCAGGACATATTCATAAAATATAATTAACATTATCAATTCAACATGACAAAGATTGTCATGTTGAATTGATAATATTAATATTGACATATTCATAAAATATAATTAACATTATCAATTAAAAATTGCATGTAAGGATTTTTGTTTGTTTTTTCCGTATATTTTTCTTCATAAATATATATATATATATATATATATATATATATATATATATATATATATATATATGCACATTTCATTGAATACGACAGACAAGGTGCTTTTATTTAGTTTTTTATACAATTTTTTATGCTATCTATTTTTTTTCTTTTTGAATGATAAATTATATAAAAATTGTCCCAATGTTCTGTTTATCCGAACACTTTCGGCTATCCTTTTAGCCATTTTCAAGGATTAAATATTTTAACTGTTAAATAAGAAATAGTTTGTTCTATGTATGTTTTACAAAAATGAAAATGGCTCAATGTATAGCCGAAATAAAAAGAACATTCGGACAGTTTTTGTATAATTTATCATCCGAAAAAAAAAAAATTATTAGATCATGAGAAATTGTATAAAAAATTAAATAAAAAGCACATTGTCTGTCGTATTTAAAAAATGTGCATGAAAAAAGGATTGCTGCCTAAAAACACATATATATATATATATATATATATATATATATATATATATATATATATCAGAAAAACTGTTTATGCCAAGGTGTTATGCTCCCTGAGCAAGTTTAGCAAGGCAAGTTTAGACATTTTATTTGATAACATGTATTTACTTCTTACTCACAGAAGTATCGTAGAGAAAATAAAATGACGTACGTTAAGTTTACAGGTTTTGAACTGAAGAACACTAAAATGTTATAAATCTTACTGTGTAAGAGAAGATAAACTATAGTTAAGTAATATCTCGACCAATTAAACGAAAGTGAGTTAATGTTGCTGTTATTGATTTTTAATTTGTATATTTAATTATTATTTATTATTTTATTTAATTAATTTATTTTTTCTATTTATTTGTTGAGTTAATTAAAATTTTTATTTTTCTAAAGGTTATAACCGTTTTCTTTTAATTTCTTAAAATGTTTATGGTTATGAATAAATACTTTGGCTTGAGAAATTTGCTTTAAGAAAAGTGATATTTGAAAAAAATTCAGGGGTAACTTAATATTTTGCCAAGAATCGAGAATTGCACTTTCAAGAATCTAAGTTGTTTTCTCTTTTAGTAAATACTGCATTTTTAGACCAACGGTATGGATGAAATTATTTCTATGTATAACTAATGCATTGAGTAAATTGTTTTGTGGGCGATTGTTATTATGTTCTGTTGTGACCAAGTAAATGATTAAACAAAACCAGGGTTGCAGATATATCATATATTAAACAGTAAGTACAACAGAAGACTATGACACGACTATTCAGTGTGTGTCGGATGAGCTAACGTTCAATCTATTCGACTGTTGATATTTAGCAGCCCCCTCCCACGACGTAGGATGTGGCACAAGGCCAGGTTTAATGTGAGGCAATCTGAGCCCGTAGGCTCGGCCAAAAATTCTCCGTAGAACCCCGTAAAAAACGGGGTCGGATAGCTATTTCCCGAGACGAGACTCTGCCCTTCGACATAGCCTCGACAGGGGATCCTCTCTGCCCAGAGGCAGAGAGTTTGACCAGCACAGCAGGAACAGGTCTATTCGAATGTTGATATTTAGTAGCCCCCTCCCACCTCCACGAGCGTAAATGTGGCACAAGGCCGGGTTTAACGTGGGTCATCCGAGCCTGTAGGCTCGGCGAAAAATCCCCGTAGAACCCGCATAAACAGGTTCGAGTCTGTCTACCTCCCCGGACGAGACTCTCCCCTTCGGCACGGATTCCTCTCTGCCCAAAGGCAGAGAGTTCGACAGAAGCTGCGAACTATCACAGCCCGGTAGAACAATCTATTCGACTGTTAATATTTAACAGCCCCACCCCACGACAGATGTATGTGGCACAAGGCCGAGTTTACCGTGGGTTCTCAGAGCCCGTAGGCTCAGCAAAAAATATTCCCTTAGAACCGGTATAAACGGGTTCAGGGGCTGTCTATCTCCCCGGACGAATCTTTGCCCTTCAGCAAAGACTTGTCCGGTTTCCTCTCTGCTCAAGGCATAGAGTTTGACAGCAACGAACAATCTATGCGACTGTTTCCCTAAGGCCTTCTCTCCTACTAATCTAGGAGGCGGAAGAGTCCAACATAGACTCTTTAGAGGGAGGACACCACAACATATTCATAAATAGTTGTTTTTTTTTTTTTAATTCTACAAGTTTCACCAATATATTGTAAGGAACAGCTATTACAGTTCATGTTATATATGCCTGCTTCAGAATTATTGTTATTATGGTATGTTTTTGGTTTTGATCATATGCATAATAATTTTGGATGTTGTTATAATTATTTTAATATTATTAAGATTAGACATATGATTTTGAATAGTAGATGTTTTTGCTAGATTTGTCTTGCTATAATCAGGCGTCGATTTATAATTTGGTGAAATCTTCCTGACTTTAATTCTCAAGTTGGTTTGTTCTTCCTGCTAGTTGAGATTTTTTTGTTTTTTTTTTCGTTATAAACATCGCCAATGTAGATGTACTTGCCCAACTCCGTTATTTGCTGCCAAACATTATTAAGAAAAAGAGAACAATAAAAGAACATGAATTAAGGAAACAGAAGATAACGATTGACATTGCATATAAACGTTTAAAGATTAAAGTTGACTGGAAATCATGAAGCCGGAAGCGGGTTCCACAAGCGAGAAGTGCGAGAGAAAAAACTGTTAGCATAGAACTTACAGTTAAATCTGATATTTTCAATTGTAAAATGATAATACCCACCTGACAATCTAGTACTGCGTTTAAATTTGTAAAGTCGATGTACAAAAGAGGATTAGCTCATCAGAAATATATATATATATATATATATATATTAAGCATTTCACCCCAAGCAAGTCGGGAGTGCCGCTAGCACATATAGGGGTTACAGAGAGTGGGAACAAGAGTAAAGAGGTGTGAGAGAAAAAAGGATGAAGAGAAGGACAGGGAATCAGATCAAGGTATCTGAAGATGTCGATTGACATTGCATTTAAATAGTTGGAGATTATAGCTATCAAGGAAGGATGTAAGAGGAAGGGAGTTCTGCAGATGGGAAGTGTGAGACATGAAGCTATTGGAGTAGAAGAGACGGCTACGTTTAACCATTTCGACAGTGAAAGGATGGGACGGAGATGCCAACCTAGTAGCACGTTTAAATTCATGCAGTTTGGAAACTAGCGAAAGTAGCTCGTCGGAGCAGTTACCGTGAAAATATTTGTAGAAAAGACAGAGGGAATGATGCAGGGAGTCTACGGTACAGCAATGGGAACATTGCAGATTCTTCTTTGTATTTTGTGAAGAATCTTTAAATGCATAACAGAAGCATCAGATCAGATGTGACAGCAATATTCAATGCATGAATGAATGGTAGATGTATAAATATATAAGATAGATTCTGATGAGAAGAACAGTCTAGCACGATACAGTGGGCCAAATTTCCTAGCAGCAGATCTAGCAATTGATTTAATATAACCGTTTCATATCGTGTCAGTGGAAAACGTTAGCCTGAAAAGTCGCAATGAGTTGTTCTCCTGGAGACTAGAATTAGGAAGATGATTAAAAGAGAGTCATTTCGTTTCACTTGCATTGATTTCAGATTTTTTCTTTGCGAGTTAGTCTCATCGTTTTTATATCTTTTCTTCGCTGTGCAGTTTAATCAACCTTTTTACTTTTGATCAATTTCTGTTTCGTTTGTGACGGCCTTCTGACTATATTACCATGTTGTTTATTCTCGATTCTCACACGGATATTTTTATATACATGAATTATTAATTAACAGCTTCGTTTTACGCCTTTCGTACTTTCATTTCTCTTTATTTTTTCAAATATTTCGCTTATTTATTACAGTATATATAATATATATATAGAGAGAGAGATGTGTTTTCGCGGTTATTTCCCTTTATTCTCTAATTAATCAGCTCTTTATGCACTGCACAATAATTATTTTTATTACATTAACTATTAAATTATTTTAAGCTTTCTACTAGTCACCAAATTTTATATCTTAAATGATTATTTTTTCTTTCGTTTTCTTCAGCCATTTTTTTCTTTATTTCTTTTATCAACGTGTTTCTTCTATCTTGCCGTTCTTTTATCAACGTGTTTATTTCTGTCTATCAATAATTTTTACTGATGTGTAATTCTTATTTAAGTCTAATGCTTTTATAAACCTATTTCAATCTTGATTTCGTTGTATATATTTAGTTTGATCCCGTTATCTGGGCTGGGGGTGCTTACTCAAATTTCTAGCCTTGGTAGAGCTCAAAGCCGTTTACACAGCCTTGTGGGTGATTAATTATTTTAAACCCTACAGCCCCCTTTCCCACAGATGAAACGTCGTAAGCTTACCATTACTCTATCGCTATTTCCATAATAAAACTTCTGACGAGCTACATTCCTTAGTTGTATCAGTTAAGAACTTCACAGATAGAGCCCGTCATGACACATGTACAGGGCGCGATGGATAAATTGTCGTCTAAATTATGCAAAAATGAAAATAACACTGACATTTCATTTTAAAAGATATATCTTCCAAAATTACACAAAAATATCTTGAAATACAAAAGAGTAAATTTATTCAATAAAGCAGCCATTGACTTCAAACACGACCTCCATACAACATCAGAATCTCCTGCATCTCTTCTGGACGGTCTCCTTGTTTAAGTTGATGAATACTGCCATAATCCTTGCCTTCCGCTCATTTTTGGTGTTAAAAGGTATTTAATTGGTCTTTCAATCAACCGCGCGCCACACATAATAATCAAGGGTGCTGCAGTCTGGGGAGTTAGGTAGCCAGATGTGAGGGGTGATGTGATCGCAGAAATTGTGTGACAGCAATGACTGTGTTCTCCTGCTTGTTTGGCAAGGTTCAGAGTGCTGTTGCTGGACATGAGATCTTCCAGAAGCCACCCTCACGAATCAGGGTAGCATTACCTCCTCAGCGCACTTGATGTAGGTCTCTGTGTTAAGTCGGAGGCCTCCATCAATTTCGGGAATTCTTTTCTTATCAGAACGATCAGAGTGTTTTTTCCAAGCTGTCGTACCTTCGTAATCACCGTTAGACTCATCCAACTCTTTCCGAAGCATCTCCACTATCCTCAGATTGACGCCCAAACACTCTGAAATGTTCGTATTGGAGTTTCCGGTGCGAATGCCAAGCAGTACGGCATGCCGTTTCCAAATCTTTGGCGGAGTGAATTGTGTCATGGCGCTTTTTTTTCTCAAAGACGGTGCCCAACTGACCCTACTATACTGTGCAGTCAACAAATGCAAAAACAAACAAAGCGCATGCGCAAAATTAAAAATAAAAAATGGCGACAATTTACTCATTGCACTCTGTATATGGTTGAATCATCCTCATTCACTTTGTACTCCTTTGGTAAAGAGAATGTTCCACTTGGGCAGTTTTTTTTTTTTTCTCGAGAACGGCTACTTGTTAGAACAGACTCCCCAGAGGATGCTTCCTCGATTGCTACAATCTTAATCTCTTCAAGTCTAAGGTCAAGTGTTATTTGTTCTACATATCCTCATAAACTCAATCCAAGTCCAGTCAAGTTTGTTATATTCACTTAAATCGCAAATACCGTAGGGATAGGTATGAATCCGTCTCTTCCCTGTCCCAGCTAAGGGTTAAATGGTAGGACTTATATCTGGAAAAATAATTGTTACTCTCAAAAAATTGCTAATGCAATATTCATTTAGAAAAATGGATTTTTCTTACAATCCAAAATCCGCTTTAAAGAAGTGTTGGCAAACCTTAAAAAAAAACTAATCAATAAAAAAACATCTTACGTTTATACAACAACCTCACTCAGTAGCATTCTACCTTTTGCTTAATCTTATCTTTTTAAATTATTCTCTTAAGTCTCACTTTTTTCACTCATTTAAATTGATTTTTTTTCCCGAATATGTTATTTATTTCCTTATATTTCTTTACTGTTTGTGTCTATATATGTTTCTTTTATTTTTGGGGATCTTTTGTATATTTTCGTTTGTTTCCTTGATTGAATTCTCTGCTTTCTTATCAAAAGTAATCCCCGTTTTTCGTGTGATATTTTCGTCAAATTAATGCGAGATTTCCAACATACAGTTAAAAAAAGAGTTTTAAATAATTGAAGGTGGTGTTACAATCAGGAAATTGAAGCGTTCGCCATTTTGAAGTCACGCTTTTCCAATCTGGCGGGAAAGAAGACAATAACAAAGCAAAAGAACTGCCCGTGCGTGGCTTATTTAATAAGCTATGTTAAAACGATAATGTCCCTCTTAAGACCCACGGGTATCTTTTTAACAGAGGAAATTAACTGACTTGTCGTCAATGCGTCACTTGCAATGTAGATGTGATACAATCATCTATATCTTTGTTTACAATTTACATAGAAAATTCAATAACGTCAGTATAAGTTTCTTTTTTTTTCCAAACCATAGGTGAACAGAGGATGTGCATATACATTATTTGCTGTATACATATTATTTGCTGTATACATATTATTTGCTGTACACATATTATTTGTTGCAATTCATTTTCTTGGCTTAACTAATGCATTTATTTGTATGTAAAATCTATGAAACTTGTGGGGGAAAATCAAATAAATCCATTAAATAAAATCAGAGTATTGAGAGACAGAAAAATAGTACTGAACTGTTATGTGATATCTGTCCTTCTGTGTGGCAGCGAATGCTGGACAATTTACTCAAAGATGAAGAAGAAAGTAGAAGCAACAGAAATGTGTTTCTACAGAAAGATGCCTGAGGATACTATGGGCCGAACATGTAAACAACGACGAAGTTTCGCATAGAATGGAAACAAAGAAGAAACTTATACTTAACATCAAGAAGAGGCAGCTGAAATTTCTCAGTCACGTAATGAAAAAACAGGGCTCGGAAAATCTGATACTCACAGGACAGTTAGATGGAAAGAGAGACAAAGGAAAGCAGCGTATAACATACTTAATGATCTCCAAACAAATGGATGGTGGAACAAGGTTTGGGAGAAATAACAAAAACACAAAACTTATTAAGAGATACAAAGGACAGGAAGATGTGGAGGGCCATGATCGCCTACGTACTGAAGGGACACGGTACTTAAAAGAAGAAGGCTGAGTTGATCTCGACCATCTTTACCCGTTATTATTTTTACCTTCCATGAATTATTTCTGAACCAAAAAGGAAAACGGACATAATTAAGAGTCATTTAACTTTGTTTCAATACAGTCGACATAAAATAAATAAATGGGAATATAATATATATATATATATATATATATATATATATATATATATAATATTAGTGGAAAATATACATACATATGCAAAATATATAAATACCCATACATGTATATTTTTAGAATAAAAATTCCAAGAGGAAGAATCCAGGTAGAACTCAATGTCTAGGACAGAGTAAGGATATAATAAAAAGGCTTAAACACTAAATAAATTATGACCATGGAATATTAGTGTTTAAGTTTTTTTTTATATATATATATATATATATATATATATATATATATATATATATATATATATATATATGGGGGTGAAAGGGGATGAGACGAATTGGAACATTTGTTAACGACGCGTTACGCCAAAGAGCGTATTGTCTTTTTGGCTTCCTCAGAATCAAAGAAAGACAAAAACTGTGTGAGAAAAATGCCTTGGGACAAGAGAAAATCAACAAATCAAATTAAATTACCTAAGCTAATCACATCCTAATATCCAGTCTCAAGAGAGAGTCTGTCCATCTGTTTGTTTTGTCGAAATCTATATTAGAGCCGTTTGGTATTGTTGAATATTTATATACAAACAAGTTTTGTTAAATTCAACTGACATGGTCGGTATCTTTAGATTTTGTATTGTATTTTTTTAGTTTTCTAATAACGTCTATTTGAATTTGAAATGCAGCGTTTCATGAATGATAACATGAAGCCATATTGAAATTTAGTCCTTGATAACAGCTAAGAGGGCCTAAATTTTTGCGAACGAAACAATGTTTGGACAGTTGTTCCACAAATTTGAAAATTAGAAAAATACAATAAAAAAAATGAATCAGACTGACAGTCACAATTTGATTTCGTAAAATTTGTTTAAATTTATTTTTATTACCTTAGTAAATATATATATATATGTGTGTGTGTGCGTGTGTGTGTTTGTGTGTGTGTGTGGTGGCAACAAAGTCACTATATAGTTGTTATAAATACAAAACATTGAAGCAGATGGCTTGCAGTTCGAACAGTATCGGTACTTAATTTACTATTGTTTACCATACCACTTTCCCGCCCTGGGTATAACGATAAACTACATCCGCATCCTGGGTAAGACGATAAACTACGTCCAGCAGCAAGGCCTCTGATCAGGAGCTTTTGAGAAGCGTGGAACTATCTCTTAATTGCTGGTATTCCCAGGTCCACCCTGACCCGGAGTGGTAGCACCTGTTAGGCTCTCAGCTATGGGCAAATAGTTAACCCCGAAACTGGGATAAAAACACTATGAAATACTTTGTAAAAAAATTATTACCAGCAATACATTTTTGAGGAAAAAATATTACCAGCAATACTTTTTTTGAAAAATATTATTATCAGCAATACATTTCTGAAAGAAAAATATTACCAGAAATAGATTTTTGACAAAACGAAATATTACCAGCAATAAAAATTTGGGGGCGTTAAATAACCCATTGAGTTTGATATGCCGTAAAACAAAACAAACCAAACCATACCATTTTATT